GAGTGAAGGAATAGCATGTCTGGAATTCTGAGAGGCCTCTGAGTGTATCTGTATCTGAGAGAACCCCTCTGGAGAAGGAGCTGGAGGGAAGGATGGCAGATGTGGCTGGAACTCAGTGTGGGGAGGGGGAGAATGACCAAGGGGCTGCTTGAGGACTTAATCCAGACCCCACAGGCCTCTGTCCTCCCGTGGGGTCTGCCCTGTGCTCTGGTCAGTGATAGACATGCTCAGAGGGTCTGTAGCCATCTGGGAGGGGCAGGGTCTATACAGCTACACAGCTGCCACACCCAGCTGTCAGGAAAGCCCTGAGTCCTTCAGTGAACCCAGCTGGCACAGCTGCCTGCTGTGTTCCTGGAGGCTGAGTGCCTCTCTGGGGAGGGAGCGGGCTGGGTCCTGGGGACTCCGAGGCAGCTAGCTGTGCTTTAGACTTCAGTCCCTGCTTCCATGGATGAAATGAAAGCGGAGGCCTCACCTGACCAGCCCTGCCCGCCCCTGCTCGGTGCACACAGGGAGTCTCTGTGAGCTTGCTTTAGAAGAAAGTGCTTGTTAGAAAGAGTTCAGAACTTCCCATCTGGATGTCACACTGCGCCTCTAAGGGGTCATTTGGCACGCATGCTCATTCATGTCTTGGCCTCACTCCCAGGCCGCCTTCAGGCACCTTGGAGAGCCCGCCAGAGAGATGGACTCCTGCCTGTGGTGCTCACGTATCCCTTGGGACCAAAAAGAGGTGACTGTCCGAGAGCCAGCTTGTCACCGTGACAGGGAAAAACTAGCAAGTACTGTGTGTGGGTGCTGAAATATTTATGGGTTACCCATGATCCCTGTAGTTTTCTCTCTCTCTCTTTTTTTTTTGGGTCCGGGCGTGGGGCTGAACTCTGGGCCTGGGCGCTGTCCCTCAGCTCTTCAGCTCAAGGCTAGCGCTCTACCACTTGAGCCACAGTGCCAATTCCGGCTTTTTTCTTTTTGCTTATATGGTGCTGAGGAATTGAACCCAGGGCCTCATGCATGCAAGGCAAGAGCTCTACCACTGAGCCACCTTCCCAGCCCAATCTGTAGCCTGTTTTATAGATGGGGTTATGGAGGCTTGGAGAGAGGTCTTACAATTTTGCCCACAGATTGAGTTAAAATGTGAACCCAGGAAGTTGGGCTGAGTGGAGTACACCTGTAATTCCAGCACTCATAAGGCTGAGGGAGGAAGATCTTGACTTTGGGGCCAGACTGCTATATAATAAGTGTTGAAAAAAACAAAAAAAGAAGGAATTGAGCCCAGGAGCTGTGAGAGAGGTTGAGCTTCTCCAGGGGTTGGTTTTGAGGCTAGCTTCTGCACTAGTGGATGGGGTGGGAGAAAGCCAGTGGGAGGGGGTGTGGCCAAGGGAGGGCTATCAGAGCCTGGGGTAGGCAGGGGAATAATTGTAGAAAGTCTGTTATCTTACCCCTCACATGTGAGCTGGCCCCAAGATATGTAATTGTAAACTCAATGGTTTTCTGTGCCAGTACTGGAACTTGAACTCAGGGCCTGGGTGCTGTCTTCTGAGCTTTTGTGCACAAGGCTGGTGGTCTCCCTCCCATTTGAGCCACAGCTCCACTTCTGGCCTTTTGGTGGTTAATTGGAGTTAAAAGTCTCATGGGTTTTCTGCCTGGGCTGACTTTGAACTGTGATCCTCAGATCTCAGCCTCCTAGGTAGCTAGGATTGAGAGTGAAAAGCACTGACACTCAGCAACCTGAATGTTTATTTTTCAACAAGCCTGGGTATTGGTGTAGAAACTGGGAGTGAGAACTAATTTTTGTTGAGCAGTTACTATGTGATATACTCTAAGCTTAGAGCTAGAGCTGCTTTATCTGTTCAGCCTAATCCTCAACCATTTCATAGAGGATTGAGGAGACCATGCAGCTGGTCCAGGCAGCTGGGTGAGAGCCCTGCAAGCCTGCCTCTGCACCCCGGGCTCAGCACCTCCAGAAAGAGGCTGTCCTGAAAGAACGGATGCCACTCATTTACAGCCCCCTCCCCCCAATCCCTAGCTGGAGATCGAACCCAGGACCTCACGTGTGCTAAGAAAGCACTCTATCACTAAACCCGCACCCCTAGCCCGTGACTTGGGTCTAGAATAAGATTTACTGGTTACTTTTTTTCCAAGGTCAGGGCTGTAGCTGCTGACTGCAAAGGGACAAGAGGAAAAGCTTGTCTTCCTTCATCCTGTGCTGGGTTAGGACCCCCCCCCCCCCCCCAGGCTTTCCTGCTCATTAAAGGAAAATAATGGTGATGTTGGGCAGTTCAGGATCTTTGATGAAGTTGGCTGTGTGACCTTAGGGAAGACCCCTCCCTTCTCTGAGCCTGAGTTGCTCTCAATACCTCAATAAGGTAGCTGTGTGTGTGTGTGTGTGTGTGTGTGTGTGTGTGTGTGTGTGTGTGTGTGTGTGTGTGTGTGTGTGTGTGTGTGTGTGTGTGTGTGTGTGTGTGTGTGCTGTCCTTGGACTTCTGCTCAAGCCTAGCACTCTACCACTTGAACCAGAGCACCACTTCAATACCTCAATAAGGTAGCTGTGTGTGTGTGTGTGTGTGTGTGTGTGTGTGTGTGTGTGTGTGTGTGTGTCCTAGGGCTTGAATTCAAGGCCTGGGTGCTGTCCTTGGGCTTCTGCTCAAGCCTAGCACTCTACCACTTGAACCAGAGCACCACTTCTAGCTTTTATTTATTTATTTTTTGGTAGTTTATCTGAGATAAGAATCTCATGGACTTTCCTGCCCAGACTGGCTTTGAACTAGGACCCTCTGATCTCAGCCTCTTGAGTAGCTAGGATTACAGGTGTGAGCCACCTGAGCCTTGTTGACTTTGGTTTAAACCTCATAAACAGGATCAGGCTGTCATTGTTGTTACCGAGTAAGCTTTGTAAACTTTGTGGTTCTTTGTTCTCTGAGTGTAAAAATGGTGAATTGTCATCAGTAAAGAAATGGAAAATCAAGACAAATTATGTTTGGTGGGGGGGGCAGGGGTTGGGTACTTGCTTATTTAGCACTGTGTGGATCTCCCACATATCTGAGGGGAGCCCAGAGTTTACATGGAAAATGAAGGCCCTGCTTGCACTCTGTATCCTGAAAGCTTGGGATTTCCTCAGTCTGCATTGCAACGTCACTGGGTCAGCCCTCCGAGGAGGCTTGCACCTGTCACCTTCTAATGCCCAGAGATAATTGTTGAACTGCAGAGAACTTGGCTTTGCTCTTGACCGGTCCTATGGGCCGTGGAGGTGAGATGCATTTGGACATTCGGAAAGCCTTTGGGTATGGATGAGATGACATTTCAGGTGGGCCTTGGACACCATGCAGAATGCTGACAAGTAACCACAGAGTAGACCCTCTATGGAGGTGTCAAGTAGAGGAGGAGGAAAGGTATAGAGAAAAAGAGAAGAGGGTTGAAGACAAGACTCAAACTCCAGTACTGCCGAAAGAGAAAGTGGGGGGTGGGGGAGGAGGTGGTTTTGAAGAAGGAGACAGTCCAGTGGGAAAATCTCTAGCATTAGGCCATCCTGGAAACTGGGTGTCCTCTAGCAAGTCTTACTACCTCTGAGCAAGGCTTCTTCATTTGCAAATAAAGTTTTTCTGTTATTTTCTGTTTGTGTGGATGATAAGTAATTCTTCCTATGGCCATTGTTTGACCTTGTCATGTCTAGGGCACCGGGGCCACAGGGGTGGACATGTCCAGCATAGGGGATAGATGTGTCCAGCATAGGGGATAGATGCAGCAGGTGTCCACCCCTTCCCCTGAACACAAAGAGGAAGACCAAGCCCATCTTCTATTGTGCCCATCTTTACATTATGTCCAACACTAACTTCAAAATTAGTTAATATCCCCTTTTCTTCTGTTCTTGGGCCACTTGGACTTGAGGCTAGGGAATCCCTCCCAGAGTCGTCCATTTTCCTCCTCAGGCTGCCTGTGAGGTTCTAAACTCAGCAGGACCCAGTTGTGATCCCTTGGGCCTCTATGTCTGGTGCTGTAGGCATTGACCCCGTCTCCTCCAGTTCCACCTGCAGCTCTCATGGTGGGGGTGGGGTGGGGTTTTTAGGCCTGAGCCTCACAGTCCAGTGCAGCTTGTGAATCTATGAATGGCCAGATTGGGGGTGCCTCAAATTTCCAATGAGGACACTCGGCAAACCCTTCAGCTCCAACCCCTCCCCCTCAGGGTGGTGGGCACGTTAGTGCCTTAGGTGATGAGAATCATCATGGTCTATGCTGGCGTGCAGCAGTTTCAAAGTCCACCCTGACAGTCGCGGGTGGTCAGCGTGTACCACCGGCTGGGCCCGTGTGAGGAACACGCGCCTGCTCTCCAAGCTTTAGTTCCCCCAATCTGTGCATTGGCAGGCTGAGCGGAGGGAGGTGCCCCAAAAAGCCCGGACGGGGCCGGGGCGCTGATTCCTCGGATACGTGTGCGCGCGTGCGTGTGTGTGTGTGTGTGTGTGTGCGTGTGCGTGTGTGTGTGTGTGCGTGTGTGTGTGTGCGTGTGTGTGTGTGCGTGTGTGTGTGCGTGTGTGTGTGTGTGTGTGTGTGTGTGGCGGGGGAGGGGAGCGGAGGGGGGTGGAAAGAACTGGCCGGGAGGTTAGGGCAGAGGGCGGACCGGCCTCCCGGGTCCCCGCCCCTTTAAGCCCTCGCCTCGAGGCCACGCCCCCAGCCCCGCCCTCCAGGCGCTCGGGCGGCCTCGGCCGCGGTCGGCCCGGCTCGGTGTTGCCCTGGCAACAGCGGCTTAGGGGGCGGGGGCGACGTGTGGGGGGGGGAGTGGGCCGGGCCGGGCCGGCGGGCGGGCGGGCGGGCGGCGCGGGGTGGGCCGGGCCGTCGGCGCTCGGTCGGCGGGCGGGCGGGCTGCGAGCTGCTGGGGCCGAGCCGGAGCCCGAGCCCGGCCCGCCCTCGGCCGCGCGGCCGCCCAGCGAGGGTGCGGGTCCGGCGCGGGTCCCGGGCCGCCGCCGGCGCGCTAACCCCGCCTCCCCTTCCCCCTCTTGTCGCCCCGCGCGCAGGGCTTCCTCAGCCGCCGCCTCAAGGGCTCCATCAAGCGCACCAAGAGCCAGCCCAAGCTGGACCGCAACCACAGCTTCCGCCACATCCTGCCGGGGTTCCGGAACGCAGCCGCCGCCACCGCCGCCGCCTCCGCCGCGGACAATGAGAGGTGAGCCCGCCGCCGCCGCCGCGCCCCGAGGGCGCGGGACAAAGCCGGCCCGGGCGCGCCCTCCCCCGGGAGGGGCCCACGCCGCCCTCGGGGCTGCACGCGGGGCCGCCCGGGGCCGCGGTCCCGAGGGGAGGACCGGGCCGCCCCCCCACGCCCCCTGGGGTGCGGGGAGGAGGGTGCCCGGGCCGCGCGTGGCCGGGCAGGAAGTCCTCCCTCCCTCCGTCCCTCCCTCCCTCCCTCCGTCCCTCCCCTCGTCCAAGAGTCCTGCCTGGCCTGGCCGAGGTGGGTATTGTTTCCCGGGCTGTGCCGTGCCCGGAGGTGGGGACGGGAGGTGGCGCCTCCACCCCCCACCCCCCACCCCCCCAGGATCGGGGCCTCGGGAGTCCCTGGGATGTCCCATACAAAAGGCGTTCTCCGTGGTCGGTCGGGCATTGCCAGCAGTGCCCCCCGCGGGGAGGACGGGGGTGGACATCTGGAGGGGAGGAGCAGGGGGCCGGGCCGCCTCGGGGGCACATCTGCTCTAAGTAGGGCACGTGCTCCGCGGAGGGGCCGGGGCCCGGCCGAGTGCCCCCCGTGCCCACCCCCCACCCCCCAGCGGAAGGGCCTGGGCAGCTGCTGCCCTTCCCTCATCTCTGGCTTCCCAGGGGTGTCCCGTGCCCTCCGTTCCCTCTCCTGGGCCAGCCGGGAGCAGGTGTGGAAATTCCAGGGGGAGGCGGCTTGTGGAGCAGAGGAGGAGAGGGAGGAGGTGGTTCAGCCTGCCAGGGAGTCACCGGCAAAGAGCGAGCAGGCTTCAGCTCGCAAGGGCAAGCCATCCTGTCCGTGCGGGGGCACGGGGCGGGCGCAGCCTCTGGGGGCCCAGGTTCTCTCTCCCTGACTGGTGCCAGCCATAAGCACCTTCCTACTTAGGCAGAGGCCCAGTGATGTATGCCTGTGCCAGTCAGAACGTGTCGTGGAGGTGAAAGAACGGGCAGGCACTAAAGAACCTTTTCCAGAATTCAATCCCAGTACCTCAGGCCACTGGCATCTGCTTGCCTTTCTTCCCAGGGCTGTGTCCCCAAGTTGGATTGGTGGGTTTGGTACTCCCTGGAGAGGTGGCATAAGGTAGAACCACAATGCCCCTCCCTCCTCCCTCAGGAAAGGCATACAAGTTCTAAGCCTAACTCCTGCCCAAGGTGGAGTGACTGTTTAACTGACCCCTAGCATCTTCCCCCAGAGTGCCCCTCCCACATCCCCGTGGAATTGCTAGACCTTCATTCTCCTCAGCCCAGCCATGCTCTCCCCAGCCGATCCTCACCACTGGCTGCAGCTGGCTTCCTGCCCCAGCTGCTAAGCCCAGCCCTAGGCAGGACCCTTTCTCTGATGGCCACGGTGCCCCAGGAGACCAGGCGTGCCCTGGCAGGAAGATGCAGCCAGGCCAGAGCTCAGTGCTGGGTGCAGCCAACTGCGTCTTTGAAAAATCTCTCTTCCCATCTTTGTTATTGTCTGGGCGGCAGGCCACCCGCTTTGCTGCCTTCTTCCCTCCGCCCGGCCCCCACCTCCGGCTCTCTCCCCCAGGAACATGCCCTTCTCCGCGCTTTCCTTGGTGGGGGTCCGGTCCCTCTGCACCCGCATGCGGGGGCTTGTGTACGTACCCCATTTTGTGTGCATGTGGTGGTTGTCCGGGGTCAAGAGAGACAGCAGGAGGTCTGGCCTCTGAGTGTGTCTGCCCTCCCGGGAAGCAGGCAGCATGCATGTCATGTTTACCTCCCTCCGGCATGAGAAGCCAGGCACCGGGAAGCCAGCAAGGGCTAGGCTGGCGATCCTTGCCGGAGGTCTAGGCATGGCCAAGGGGACCTCTTAACAGGTCCTCTCCAGCCTGGCCTCAGGTCAGCCTTGCTACATCCTGGGGGGGGGGGCGCAGCGGGGGGGGGGGGGGGTGGGTGGGGGGTGCAGCATGGGGGTTGGGAGTGAAACTGCAAGACTGTTTTTGGAAACGTGGTAAACGGTGTAACAGAGTCACTGGCAACGGTGTGGAATTGTCTTGTTAATTTTCTGTAAACAAAATCTGGATTGATGGCTTCTCTGGCACCAGAAGGGAGGCCAGATTTCCTATGGATAGGCAGTGAGACTGGGTTTGAAATCCTTCTACCCAGGCTTGAAGTTGAAATAGGCTTTGCCAGGATCGGAGGTCTCCTGATTCGTTGCATGGCTCAGGAGTAGATTCACCGGCTGCTGTTGAATGGATGGGCAGGTATTTCTCTGGGGCAGCCCTTGGGGGCATCGTGTTTGGAGCTAAGTGAGTGACATCAATTATGTTGACCCCTACATCAAGCTCATGGTCAGACCTGGGTGAGTGGGAGACGTACCTTCTAATCTCGTGGGTGGTTGTGCTGCTGATGGTCCTGGTGGAGGGAATGAGCTGCCTCCGGCTTTGCTTCGGAACAAGGAGGGGTTGGTTGTTGACTTGGCTTCTCTCCCCTGCCCTCTCCCCTGCCCCACTGATTGCCATGACTTTCTGGAGCTTAAGTGCAGAGACACGAGCCTCAATGAGCAGATTGAAACTGATAGATAGGACAAGGGCTAGGACCTTTCTAGGGTATTAAGTGTGAGCCCTGGCTCCTTTGGCTCTGCTGTGTAGACGATTAGCCCACTTGAGTGTGGCTTTGGGTGAGTTTGTCTGGCTTAAATGGCTGCTGGTGGGGCTTTGTTGCATGCTATCTGTGTGCTCTGCAAACTGCTGTGTTGAGGAGGATCTTTGCCTTTCTTTTTTTGGGGGGTTGGAATTCTTTCATCAGGAAATTGGAAACTGGTTGATTATATGCTGGGATCCTTCAGCTCCCTGGGAAAGAGGGCTGTCTGCTGACTAGTTGTGGGGCCGGGGTCAATCCAGCCCAGGTCTGGTGGGCTCCAGGGCTCCAGGACAGGTTTGAGCCTTTGTACTTATTCTGGAAATGGCTTTGGGGGAGGTTCCCAGCTGGTCTCCACAATCTCTGGGCCCCTCGTTTCTCCTTTAGCATCTTTGTCAATAAGCACCAAGGACAGGTAATCATTTCTCCTGGGTAGCAGAAGTGAATGCTGCCCACAGCGTAGTCCAGGTGAAAGGTGTGCTGGCAAAAGCATGTTTGTTTTGCAGGCTGGAAATGTTGCCGCTTCATGTGCAGGGCTGTTTTAACGTTGGTAAGAGGAATACAGGATGCGGTGTTTCTGCCTTCTTCCCAGAAGATAATTTCCAAGTCACTTATTTATTGATGTTACTGATGAACTAGGAGGTCAGCCGGCAATGTTATGCTTTCCTCATCTCCCTTTGCCTTTTTTTCCCCCACCAGATCCTGATTGTGGGTGACACAACGTGGTAAGAGTATGTCTCCTGGTCTCTGCTGCTCTAGTGCAGTACCTCCTTCCCCCTGGTCTGGTTATAAAGCTTAGCTTGTACATGCAGGCTACCAGGAACATGTAGGCAAGTCTGGTATGTGTGGAGTATGAGATGCATCACCCCTTTGAGAGAATGTGTGTGTTGTTAAAAGTTAGTAATGGAAGCAATCTAGGGAAGGAATGGGGGCTAATATGGGGAAATACTTAGAAGCTGGCTGTGGAGGATTCCAGTATCTGTATTCCTACTAGGTGGGAGTTCATTCTTTCCCTTGGGGTGAGGCAGTCCTTGGAGGAAGGAAAGAGAGGAAGCTTGGTGAAGAACAGGGGAAATAGAAGGTAGAGCTCTTGTCCTATTTGGGTTGCTTTGGTGGGTGTAGGAGACATAGGCATCCAGGCTAGGGTTTCTGCTCTCTTTCCTTGCTTACTATAGAAAGACCTCTTCCTTGCCTTCCTTGGAGAAAGGCCTGTGAAGTGTGGTGATGGCAAGATGGCGGTACAGTTTAGACAATCACCAGGAATAATGGGAGTATGCGATCTTTGACTTTGAAGTCGTTCCTGGAGCAAGTTACTTTAGCTTCCTGAGCCTCAGTTTGTAATCTGCACAATGGGCGTGGTGATAATGATGTGGTTGGAGATATTCCTGCTAATGCATTCATATTTAACCCTGAATTGTACACGTTTCTTCAATGTTTCCAAGATTAATTTTAGACTAGACGAATAGATAAGATTTCAGTAAATGTTGGTATTGGTAGGAACAAGTCAGTTCTTCATCTTTGCAAGCCTCAGTTTTCCCATCTGCAGTATGGACATCACAACAATGAATCCTGTGACATCATTCTATAGCTCAGGAGAGATATAGATATTGCTACTCCTGGTAAGGAAAATCAAATCATAAAGAAGATCATTATTAAACTTGAACACAAGAAATAGCTGCACCAAATGATCCTTGTTCCTGTCTACACTTGGGAAGCCAATCTCACTTCTACATTAAAAAAAAAATACATATACATATATATATATATATATATGATTCATTGTTCCAGCTTATGTTTGGGCCAGCCTTAGTTTTGCTCATTTAAATGTTTAGGGTATGTCTACTTTTTATTAGAAATAATATAGGGATTTAAATCCTTGAATATTCATCTCTATCTACATCTCTGATTTTCCCATAGGATAGATAATGTGTTAGGAATGGAATTATTAATTCAGAGAATATGAAGTGTTTGAGATTCTTGACAAAAATATCCATTACCTAAAGCCTCAATAATCATTGAAGGGAGTATTGGGAGTGCCTGCTTGCTTCCTTGCATCCTTGCATCCTTGAAAACATGAATGTCATCATTAAAACTGTTTCTGGCCAGGTGTTGGTGGCTCATACCTATAATCCTAACTAGTCAGGGAGCTGAGTTCTGAGGATCATGGTTCAAACAGTCTGGGCAGGAATGTTCATGAGACTCTTATCTCCAATTAGCCATCAAAAAGCCAGAAGTGGAGGTGTGGCTCAAATGGCAGTGCACCAGCCTTGAGCAGAAAGGCTCTCACAAACACACAGTCTCTCTCTCTCTCTCTTTCTCTGTCTCTCTCTGTCTGTCTCTCTTTCTCTCTCTCTCTGTTCCTTGGTGTTTCTTTGTTATTTGCTTGTTAGTGAC